GCATCGCAGCATTTAGAGCTGGGTCATTTGAGATCTTCCAGCTTAAAGCCTTCACTTTGCAGAGCCCAAAGACGGGTTGCCCGAGCCGCATGGCTCCCGATTCCCAGGCCTGCCGTCTCTGCTCATGCGGTTTCACAATGCTGCCTCCTGAACACTCACACATTCCTGCAAACACATCAGTAGTTACCTACAGTCTGGGCTGCTAAAACAGGATTCCTGGAACTAGGTGATTCATAAGTAACAGGGATTTATTGCTCTGTTACAGAACTGAGAAATCTGTGATCAAGACGAGGACTTGATGACTCTAATGAAGTTGAATTTAATGACGTTAAAATGTAATGAAGGCCAAGCCCTCCCTTCTCTTGTAAGGGTACTGACCCAACCACAGGCAGGGCCCCTGAGACCCAATTCTCCCGAAGCCCAGGCTCTTGGCGCCTTCACCTTGGGGGCCAGGTTTCAGCATGAGAATCTGGGGTGGAGAGACCCAATATCAGACCACAACAGCCCAATTTACCACCTGTGGTTGGCTTTAACGTTCTTAACCAACAGATGGGACTAACATTCTCAGAATCAGGAGCCGGAGAAGCAGCCCGGTGACTAAGAGTGTTTGCTGCTCTGGCAGAGGATCAGTTTGGTTCCTAACACCCAACCCAAGTGTCTCACAACCGCCTGCAAGTCCAGCTCCAGGGGATCTGACGCCCTCTTCTGGCCTCCAAGGGCGCACACACACACACACACACACACACACACACACACACACACACACAAACAATTTTAAAATATTTTTAAAGTTATATTATAAATAACAAAACATGTATGATTTATGAAAGGCTAAGTTTACCTCTGTGTTAAACTCCTTGGTTTGTCTTCTTGTGTGCAACTCCTTGGTTTGTCTTCTTGTGCGCAAGTCTGAAACTCTCCCTGTGAAACACTGTGAGGCTCTGACCGCATGCGGGGCTCCCAGCCCAGTTCTTCTCATCACGCTCTCCATAGCTGCCTGTCATTCTGCCCGGCTTGTGTGACAAGGATTCCGTCTGTCCGCAGCACCTGCCGTCACTGTCACTGGCAGCTTACCCACAGCACTCCTTTCCTCGGGTTATTTACTGAGCAAATACTATGTTTTAGTCTTAATTTTTTTTGTTTTGTTTTTCAGAGACAGAGTTCCTCTGTGTAGCCCTGACTGTCATGGAACTCACTCTGTGGACCAGGCTGGCCTTGAACTCACAGAGATCCATCTGCCTCTGCCTTGAGTGCTGGGATTAAAGGTGTGCACCACCACCACCACCACCACCACCACCACCACCACCACCACCACCACCACCACCACCCCCACTGGGCTTTCCTTCTTTACACAGCCATTTCTAGGAGAGATTGATGCACAGGGGACGTCCTGGTCCTCTGGCTCCTACAATCTTCCTGTTCCCTCTTCTTCAATGTTCCTGAGCCATAGGTGAAGGAGCTGTGATGTAGATGTATCCATGGGGCTGGCCTCCCCATGCTCTGTTGATCTCTGCTTTTGTGTCTGGTTGTGGTGTTCTGTGATGGCCTCCATTTGCTGTAGAGGCCTCTTTGGTGAGGGCAGGCACTGCACTTACCTAGGACAGGTGGGCTGAGCACCTACTTTTCATTTTTGAGACAGTGTATCATCATGTTGTCCAGGCTAGCCTTGAACTTGGAATCCTCAACCTCTTGCACTACCACTTTTGGCTCAATCATCTTTTTTTTTCTTTAATCTTTTAGCTTCTGGTTGTTACATTCAAAGAAACTCTCCCCTTATTTTTCTTTGTAGAAATCTTTACTAATAACTTTAAAGCATTTCTATAGTCCTAGATTTCAAACTGCCCTAGCTAATCCCCAAGACAAGATTCATTCACAAAATGTCTGACCTGACATCCTCCTGTGCCAGTCTTGGCTCTGCAGGTGGCTGGATGCCGCTCCTCATCATGTGGGGGCACACCGCTCTCTAGTGGGCCGTGTGTGTCAGTGCACCGAGGCTCCTGGAGGAGAGCCCGCCGGGTCTCAGGTTCTGGGGACCCTTCAGGGAACTGAGCTAACAGATGCTACCTTTAGTTAAGACAAAGTAGAAAAACCAGGAGCTTGATTCTGGACACAACACAGCTGAGTAGGCCAGGCCCCCAGGAACAGCCCTGTGGGCCCAAAGCACAGTGCAAAAGATCCCTCCCTTGAGATGGCACCAAGTGATGGGCGCAGCTGGGACCTGTCATGCTAAAGTGACACCACCCTTTTTATTATTGTTGTCACACACCTGTCTAGGGCCTCTCTCTAGACTCCCAGGAGTCTCTAGACTCCCCCAAGATAGGCAGGCTCAGCCTCAGAGCTGGGGGTGTTTGATGGTTGAATTCTTCAGCGATCACTACAAAT